CGAGAAATTTGTAACTGTAATAAATTTTAATATTCCACATTCAGTTTTATCCTACTTTTCCAATAATGTCTTTTTTTTAGCATTTAAAACAATTGAGGATCCAATCAAATATTATCTGGTCCTAGCTGTTTTGGTTCAATGGATAGAGTGTCGGCCGGCAGACTGAAGGGTTCCGGATTTTATTCTGGTCAAGGGCACGTACCTCAGTTGCAGGCTTGATCCCTAGCCCTGGTCGGGACACATGCAGGAGGCAGCCAATTGATGTGTCTCTCTCACATCAATGTTTCTCTCTCTCTGTCTCTTCACCTCCCTAACACTCTAAAAATCAATGAAAAAATATCCTTGGGTGAGGATTAACAACAACATATATATAATCTGTAATCTAGACCTGTTCTGTCTTTCATAGCACTAATGCTTTAGGAGTCCAGGCCAGTGATTTCATAGAATGCCCACGAGTTTGATTTGAATGATTGTTTCCACATAGTTAGACTCAGGTTAAGCATTCTGGGTAAGAGTATTCCATAGATGATGTGAACTGGGAGCAGCATGTCAGGAGGCCCAGCTCTTGGTTGTTCTGTTCGCCCTGTTTTTATTAGTGTGATCAGTTGGGGAAGGTGGTGCCAGACTTCTCCCAGTGAAGAGGACATTTCCTTCACAGTAGTCTATGGAGTGATGCCTTGAGACTTCATGAATATTGTTTCCCATCAAGCTTTCACCTGAAAATTAACATCCATTGATCCTTTACTGAGTTAGCTCATACTTTGGTGGTTACAAAATAGTGATTTTTGGGGTACTTTTTTTTCTTCTACATTAGCAGGCATTGTTTTATAAAGAAAGGCTTTTCTTCCCAGCCCTAGCCCCAGCCCCTTTCTTGAGTTCAGTATGAATTCATGGATTATTTTTGTATTGTTTGTGTTATATTCCACTATAATCATTATTCATATTGATGCCCAAGTTATTCCCAGTTTTGCTGGTCGTCTGAACTGCTGGATGTGAGATGTGTTTTCAGCATTTCCCACTCAAGGTGTGACTACTCTTCAGGGAGTGATATTATCTGTGACTCACTGTCCTCTCTTCTCTTTTTCTTTTCCTCCCAGTTGCCACCTGTGGATTGCAGCATAGGTCCTGAAGCTTGATCTTCTGCATTTGATGTCTCTTTCCCCTCATACATGTAAATTAAAGTTGGTGGTGATGTCTGTGTCCTAGTACTTTAGATGTGTGATATAGTTGGTTTTATTTGCTTTATTTATTGATCTTAGATTTGGTGGGAGGTATGTGGTATGATTAGGATTTTTAGGTGGGTATGGTTATTCTATATGAAACTGGAATTCCGTGATTTTAACTATTTTTATGGCTAAGATACCAAAATGTCTGACTTTCAAATGAAGTTTTCATTTATTGATGACTCCTATAATCAATAAGCAAACTTGGGGTAAGACTTTAGTACCTTTTGAATGATGTTATGTCATTTGTCCCTACTCTCAATAGCTTCTAGCCAGCATATTCTTTTTGAATCCTGGGGTTTCTTTGTTTTTCTGTAGCCTTTCTCTTTCCACTTGCAGACCAACATTAGTCATTTCTCCTATCCCCACCCCATTGTCAATGCTTTGCTTACTAAACCCTGTCCACTTTATTCTCTACTGTGAATAGAGAATTGGGAATTTAGATAACACATCTTGTTAGACTTGGGTATGACCGTTAGAATAAATAGGACCAAGTGAGAAATGAGGCCTCTTGGAGCTTTATTTAGAGCTTAAATTTTCTCAGAATGTCTACTTGCTGGTTAAATAGCCATTCTGCTTTATTTCCAGTTTTGTTCGTATATTGTAGTAAATAATCTAAAAAATAATGTTTAACCTAATGATGATGAGGGCAGTACAGTGTTAAGAGCAAAGGTATCTCTAGAATCAGATTCTGTGAGTTCAAATCCTGGTTCCACTGCTCATTGGCTACGTAACTTCACGTAGTTGCCTAATCTCTCCGTACCGCCATTTCTCATCTATAAAGATGAAGATAATAGTATCTTCTTCACAGATTTTGTGAAGATTAAAAAGGATAATACATGATATGTATAGTGTTCTTGATACATGATTGCTGTTACAGTTAATATATTAATAACAATGTGTGGATATTCATTCTGCACAAGGAGCAGTGATCAACTGTTAAAGTAAGTAGGTCCTAAGATATTTAGGATAATTTATTTGTGACCTATCTTCCACCTACCACCCACCCTTCTCACCCCATCCTGAAATTAAAATAAGCTTTAATGATAATTTATTAAACCTTTAAGCTTTCCATTGAGAAAACATAATATTTTTAAAACTTACTCATTTGTTAGAGGTATGGTTTAAAAGGGACAATTATAGCTAAGTGCCTGAGGGATGTTAATTTCAAAGACTTTAAAGCACTTTTTTGGTTCTTTATAGAGATGCACATCTAGCAATGAAATTACATTGTGTGGAGTCATATGACCACTAGAGGTCATATTATACTTTTATATTATTTAAAAATCGTTCTTGCTGGTGTGTCTGTCAGTGAAGCCTACTTCAGACAGCTAGGAAGAGTCTATTATTGCTTCCTGCAAAAATATAGATTGGAAAAAAAGAAACCCAAGCTGGACAATTACAAGAACCATCATTATGTGTCATGGTTTTATGTTTGACAGTTTATTACTCTACTAGAGGCCTGGTGTATGAAATTTGTGCATGGGAAGGGGGATTCCCTCAGCCCAGCCTGCACCCTCTCGCAATCAGGGACCTTTCGGGGCATGTCCAACTGCTGGTTTAGGCCCGATCCCGCAGGAATCCCTTCGGGATCGGGCCTAAACTGGCAGTTGAACATCCCTCTTACAATCCGGGACCGCTGGCTCCTAACCACTCGCCTGCCTGCCTGATCGCCCCTAACCACCTCTGCTTGCCTGCCTGATCGCCCCTAACCACTCACCTGCCTATCTGATCGCCCCTATCCACTCTGCCTGCCTGACTGATTGTCCCTAATCACCTCTGCTTGCCTGTCTGATCACCCCTAACCACTCACCTGCCTGCCTGATTGTCCCTAACCACCTCTGCTTGCCTGCCTCATCACCCCTAACCGCCTCTGCCTACCTGTCTGATCTTCCCTAACTACTAGCCTGCCTGACTGATTGCCCCTAACCACTCTCCTGCCTGCCTCATTGCCCCTAACCACTCGCCTGCCTGCCTGATCACCCCTGACTGCCTCTGCCTGCCTGCCTACCTCTAACTGCTCACTGGGGTGCGGGGCCAGCCAGGGCGAGGGGCTGTGATCGTTCTGGTTGTCCGCCATTTTGCTCGCTGGGCTTTTATTATACAGGATAGTATTGGTTAGCAAATTGACTTGTATTGTTGAACTTAACAATGAGATCTTAGTATTCAAGTTAGAAATATAAACTTCTTACTCTCAGCCACAGAATGATTTGCATTTATTGAAACTATGTCTGAATGATTACATGTAGATGTAGAATCACATGAATATTTCCTCACATATTTTTATTAATAACAGTATGAATTTGGAGGACTACCTACTCAAAAATGACCTACAGAAGTTACTTAAATTCTCTAAGCTTTCAATTTCCAAATATGTAAAATGTGAATAATAGCTATAACAGTATTGAGTACTGTTTATAGTGAATCTCAACACTTAAGTGAAAGCTGTATGCAAATGGTAAAGTGGGTTACCCGATAACTGCTGTTGATTTTGGCCCACTAAGGTACATTATTGGGAAGATTATAGGAACTTCTGAATTTCTATCCTTTCTTTTCTGGTAGGATACGTTATAGTTTATATTTATGTTTCTGAAATAACCATGGTGGCTAATAGTGGCTAATTTTAATAGGGCTGCCTTTAAGATACTTAGTTCAATGAAGGCCTGAGAGGGGGCAGGAGTGAGGAGGAGGGGCGATAATGGGGGAAAGAGAGAGCATCTGTAATATTTTCAACAATAAAAAAGATACTTTATTTTAGAAAATATTCTAAATATTAACTTGCAGCTGTGTGGAAAATTTTTGGATGTGGAATTCATTCTGCTGTGATGCTTGATGTTACTACTTTTGAGTTACAGTCTTAAGTGTGGAACTGCTCTCTGGCTTAAAAAAATGGGTATTGATTCCTGGTAGTTTCACATTTTGCCAGGTTTTGCAAATCTAATGGATTTAATTGAATTTAGGCATTGCTGTAGTTTCTGCTTTTACCTATCATTTTGGTTTTGATGTGGGTAAATGATAGATACCAAGGTAACCATAAGATGGACCAAATAATTATCCTAAATCGATGCTTGAAATGTTGTCATATGAATCAGCCACAAATTACAAAGGTAATATGAACTATTGAGTTTATAGCCATGCAGCCAGGGCTTGATTGGCAATTTTAGCATTTAAAGTGCAAACAGTTTTTAAACTTTTGTATGCAGAAATGATTGTGAGCATAAGTAGAGCACTATTGGCTCAAACACAGAAAGCAAATATATATATTAGATGATAGTCTTGTCTTCACTGTAAACATTTGATTGTCACTACTCCCTCTCCTACCTTCCTGTTGTCTTAAGTAGTGCTGATGGCTCCAGAGCTCAAATGCAGGTCTGCTTGACCCCAAAGCCTGTAGCCTTACCTTATACACTTACTAAACTGCTGCTTTTAAAAGCTGTTGGTCATCATGACCTACACTACATTTCCTGTATTTGAAATGTTTTCTAATAAGTACATATTATATAGATTTTTTCTCATTTTATGAATATTATTGATAAGAATCCCCACTAAATGTCTGCCTTGAATGGAAACCATCATGTAGGTTTTGGGATCTGTTAGATTGCAAGCTTGAGTCTCTGCTTAGCCATTTATTCTTCTCTGAATTTGGGGCAGGTCTCTTAATCTCTGAGTTGTTTTGTTTTTTTGTTCAATGAGGACAATCATGGTTTGTTGTGGTTGTTATTGTTGTTTTTTTGGGGAGGTGGCTGTATTTGAAATTTTTATTTTTTTCCACTGTAGATAACAGACAAGAGAGTGTCCAGAAGACATGCGATTCTTGAGGTGGTGGGTGGTCAGCTTCGAATCAAACCGGTAAATATGTTAATGATACATTTTAACGTTTTGTCTCTCACTTTTTCCCAGCTTCGGATCAGAGGGGCTTATTTTTTAAGTTATGGAAATAGGAAATTAATGTCAAAACATATCCTTCTTATTGCCAGGAGATAATTGGGAGATAAAGATCAAACTATTTACCTTCTTTCCTATAGGGCAGTGTTACATTTACACAGAATTTAATGAAAGATGACTACCAGTTCACATGTACATGATTATTTTGTTCATGACTGGGTATTACAAATAAGATCCTATAAAAAAGCTCATAACTAAGGTGGTGGGGTAGTGACCAAAGTCACTTTAAGTGTTATAGAGTTATATTTTAATAGATTTCTATACCTCTATGTGTAGAGTTGACTATTTCTAAAATTTAGACCTTATTCAACTTTAGGATTTTAAAAATAATTGTAATTTGAAAGTTCCTGTTAAGGGCTAGAATTTTAATTACTTGCTTTTAGTTTAAGCACTGATATGTTGTAGGGAAAGCAGGTTCTGAGAATATACTATGTGATCATTCCTTTTCATTTGCAGAATCTATTGTATAGGAGAATGAAATATGTGTATGAGGGTCCATTTATTTTAGACTTGATGCTGGTGTGTTCAAATTATTAATATGGAATGAATTTCATTAATTTATAACATTTAAAAACCTACATGTATGTTCATCTTAATATGTATAACTTCCTGTTGTTTTATTAGTTCTTTTTTTAATACAGATAGTACTTTTATTATCCTATGTTGAACTATCTCCAAATTTGAGAAATATCCTTTTAATTCTAGTATTCAATGAATTCACACCACCTCAACCTTAAATAAATACTTTTAAAGAAAGTTTGTATCTCATTCTACATTGTCTTAGTGTCTTGAAAAGTGCTAATATCTGTAGTCGGCATTCTTGGGGGGGGGGGCCTTATTTACCATCAGTTATTTGTCTTTGAGTCCAACTATCTTATTCTTCATAGTGAGACTTAGTAGACCATAAGCTTGTTGAATATAGGGACACTGACTAAATCTTCATATCTCTAGAATCTAGCATAATAGTTAATATTTATTCAGTTCATGAGTAAATGCTGCAGTGAGAACTATATGTGGCATTTCTAGGAATGGGGATATCATGGATTTTTATAAAAGTACTAGAGGCCTGGTGTACGAGATTCATGCACTCGGGGGAGGGGGGAAGGACCCTCAGCCCAGCCTGCGCCCTTTCACAGTCCAGGACCCCTCAGGGGACATCCCCGGAGGGGTCCATAGAGCTGCCGCAGAGGTAGGAGAAGTTCCTGCCACTGCCGCTACGCTCACCAGCTGTGAGCCCAGCTTCTGGCTGAGTGGTGCACTCCCTGTGGGAGCGTACTGACCACCAGAGCAGCTCCTGCGTTAAGCATCTGCCCCCTGGTGGTCAATGTGCATCATAGCAACCGGTTGTTCCACTGTTCAGTCAATTTGCATATTAGTCTTTTATTATATAGGAGGACTAGAGGCCCGGTGCACAAAATTCGTGCCTGGGTAGGGTCCCTAGGCCTGACCTGTGGTCAGGGCTGATCTTCCCTGGCTGCCAGCAGCCGGCCCTCCCCCCTCTGCTGCCACCAGTTGCCCTCTGTGTGTGGGGTGATCGGTGGGGGGATAGGGGCCCCGGCACCACCCGTGTCTGCCTCCACCTACCCCTAGTTTCCTGTTCCCCATCGGGTGATCAGAGCCTGCTGGCCAGGGGAAGGGACCAAGAGGTTGGCTGGCAGGCCCCCAGGCCTGCGGGCTGGGGGCAGCTCCTGCGTTGAGCGCCTGCCCCCTGGTGGTCATTGTGCATCATAGCGACTGGTTGTTCTGCTGTTCGGTCGATTTGCATATTAGCCTTTTATTATATAGGACTAGAGGCCCAGTGCACAAAAATTTGTGCACTCAGGGGGGTCCCTCAGCCCGGCCTGTGCCCTCTCGCAGTCTGAGATCCCTCGGGGGATGACCACTTGCTGTCTTAGGCCCGCTCCCCGGCGGATTGGGCCTAAGCTGGCAGTCAGACATCACTCTGGCAGCCCGGGAGCCCTTGGGGGATGTCCACTTGCCAGCAGGGAGCAGGCCTAAACTGCAGTTGGACATCCTTAGCGCTGCTGAGGAGGCAGGAGAGGCTCCCACCACCACCGCTGTACTGGCAGCCATCAGCCTGGCTTGTGGCTGAGCAGAGTTCCCTGTGTGGGAGTGCACTGACCACCAGGGAGAAGCTCATAGTGACCAGTGAATCCCAGTTGCTCTGCTGTTAGGGTCAATTTGCATATTGCCCTTTTATTATATAGGATAGAGGCCTGGTATATGGGAGGGGGCCAGCTGGTTTGCCCTGAAGGGTGTCCTGGATCAGGGTGGGGGTCCTGCTTGGGTGCCTGGACAGCCTGGGTGAGGGGCTGAGGGCCGTTTTCAGACTGGCCACATCCCCTTCAGGTGGGGGTTCCCGCTGGAGTGCCTGGCCAGCCTGGGTGAGGGGCTGGGGGCTGTTTTTAGGCTGGCCACACCCCCTTCAGGGTGGGGGGGTCCTGCTGGGATGCCTGGTCAGTCTGGGTGAGGGATGGATGGCTGTTTGCAGGCTGGCCAAGCCCACAGCGGGGACCCTCACCCCATGAGGGTGTGGCCATCCTAAGTGAGGGGCTGATGGCTGTTTGCAGGCTGGCCATGGCCCCCAGACACCCAAGCTCTCAGTGGAGGCTGGCTGGAAGCAGGTATCTGGGGTTTATTTATCTGCTATAATTGAAACTTTGTTGCCTTCAGCGGAGGCCACAGCCAGCCAGGGCAGACAGGAAGCTTGGCTTCCTCCATCGCCAGGGCAATCAAGCCTCCTGCTTGCTCCAGCTCTGTGGTTTCTTTTTATAGTTACTTTTTAAACAAGCCACCCCCATCTTGGTTGGGTTAATTTGCATATAGTCACTCTGATTGGCTGGTGGGCTTGGCTTGGGGGCATAGCAGAGGTATGGTCAATTTGCATGTTTCTCTTTTATTAGATTAGATAGTTTCAATTAAATTCCTATTCCCTTGAAATAGATTTATTTATTTATTCATCTACTTATTGTAGCTGTACCTACAAGGTGCAATTTAGAGAAATACTAGTATTGAGAAATTCTAAAACTGCCTTTTTTTTTTCTTTTTAAAAATTGACTTTGTTAATAGAAGTTTTAGAGATCTTGAAAGTAGTGAGAATGAGGAGAACAAGTGATTTCTAGTTCATTTATTTTAACGTACACTACATATTTTTATTTGCTATGCTAAAGCAATTTAAATATACAAGTGTAATAAAGAGTTGAGAGATAAGTTTTAGCTTAAAACATTATAAAATTATGTAAATGAATATAGCAAATGTTTTATTATGAAGATCCCTTCTGTATACTGTATGCTTCAAATTATGTTTAAGTGATTAAATATATTTTCTGCTCTCCTTCAATTTAGAAAGCTAATCTAATAAGAAGTAGCTTTTACTATGATAGATGAGTGCAATTAAGCAATTACTAATTTGTACTTTTAAATTTGTCTTTTTTCTCTCTAATATTTTCCTCTAAAAGTCTCTGTTAGTAGTTCTTAGAAGTAGTGCATGAAGAGATAATGTTAGCTCATGAGAAGATAATGATTTTTTTTTTCAAATTTAAGCTAGTCTGATATCAGCAGGGAGAAAATACATTATAAAGGCCAAATGATAATATTCTCTATAAATGACTTTATCACCAATGGTTCGTTATGTCCTCAGGGTGAACTCATGGCTGTCAATGCTCTTATTTCATTTTAATAGAATCTTACTCTTTTTGGTTCTTGGTGATCAAGAGAAGTTACATAGATATGTAAAAATTGTAAGATATATTTTTGTCTTCATTTGATATCGATCCTCAAAATATACATATTTGGGTGATTGTGTTTTTTCTATTGCGCAATAAAATTCTTGAATTGTGATTGTTTTTCTTCCCATAAAATTTTGAGTGTACTTATAAAATAGCTATACAATACTGCAGTAGCTTTTCCACAACTTTTGCAAAAGAGAGAGAATTCTTTCTAAATTAAAAAAATAACAACATTGACAATAAGAGGAACCTATTTTTTTGGGTACAAAGCAATCTTTCATTAATATTTGATGATAACTCCAAGAGTAAACTATAGAAAATTGACCATATTTTAGTTCCATTTATTCAGGGATAATGTATCTTTTGCACCAATTCTACAATAATAACATCTCTTTAGGTTCACCTTTATAATCCCAGGGATATGTTAAAAGGCACACAACAATGATATGATTCTGATATGGCAGTTCATATCTTCCATTCACTGTGGGCTTGGGTTTGCCTGCCCTTGTCTGCCTGAGGAATCAAAGTTAAACTAACCTCATTGAAGGAATTTGAGAGACTTCCATCTTTTTTAGTCTTGGAAGAGTTTGAATATTCAAAAAATTCTTTAAAACTTGGGTCTGGTTTTCGGAGGGATTCGAAAGATTTTTAATTATTAATTGTATTTTTTAAATATTATAGGTCAAATTCAATCGTCTTTTCTTTTTATAGTTACTTTTTAAACAAGCCACCCGCATACACACATAAACATCCATTTTTAAAAGTGTTGTTTATATTCTTAAAGATAATTGTCAATTTTGGCGCAAATCTATTGGCATAAAGTATTTATAATATTTTATTATTGTCCACGTTTTCCTTTATATGTAGTTATGTCATTGTTTTTCTCCAAATTTTTTGTATGTACATGTGTATGTCTTCTCTCTTTGTATTTATTAATATTGTTAGATTTTTAAAAACTATCTGTTGAACTTCATGTGTAGCTTTTTAGTTGGAGTGTATATAGTTTAACATTGATTTTTAAAACATATTCAATGAATTATATTGATTTAGGTATAAGTTATAGGACCAAACATTAGAGTTTTTGGAATATTATTTTTTGCTCTTAGTTCTGGGATTCCCCGTATGAATAGTTTTAGGAAAAGAAAAAGGATGATCATAGACCACACACATTGGTCTGCTTTTTTTGTGGCTGAATTTGCTAAATGCTTGATATTTAACCTCCTAAAATTTAAATAAGCGCTTTAACGTAAAAAAAAAAAAATACTCAAACTGAATGTTTTCTTAACTTTGGGTTTGTGATGCATTTTTAAAAAAATTATTTTTATTGTTGAAAGTCTTACAGATGTCTCTCCATTTCCCCCTTTTGACCTGTCTATCCCCCAACCCAACCCCCAGCCAAATAAAATTTATCTTATTGAGAATGGAATTGAAATTGTTTTAGTGGTGAATCTATTTAAAAGTATTTTATGTTTTCTACTCTTAGAATTTTATACCTTGTATTTAATGTTTGTAAATTTAGGACTATACCATTATTTAATGTTTAGAGATTCATCTCAGTTTCTAAAATACTCATGAATAACAACATGATCATATCTTATAAGAGGCAAACCTCACTGAACGAATGTTCAGTGTTCTAGAAGAAACTAATGTACATTCCTGCTTTGACTATTGTCCCTCCTGTTACCCAATATTGCTGACTCTGGTGACCATGGCATACTCAAGGAAGGGTAGGCTTCCCTTAAAAGAAGTGATTTTCAAGGAGTAATAGGGAGTGATTCCAAGCCCAGCAGTGTGCACAAGCTCAGAACCTGGTGGCTTGTCATGCCTTGTTGCACTCAAAATCTCTGGCCAGAGAGCCACTTTGGGGGGTAAATTAGGGGTGACTGCTAGCATAATGAAAGGCTTCTAAACATTAAGTTTAAATTAGAACTTGATTTAAAAAATGAAACATTCACAACTTTTTTAGGAATATGGTGCATCACTGCATCTCCATTCCTATGTAGTCTTGTGCATGGTTTGAAAAATGATCCTGATCAATAAAATAATTGCCTACTAATTTGTATAGCCTCTGTTTTAAATTTTTACCTCTATCCCTAATCTCTAAATTTAATTTTACTGCTTGCTTTTAACACAGATTTAAAGAAAATACAAATGTTTTCAGTTGCAGGTTCACCTAGGGGTCTGATGGCCAAATCCTCATGAAAGTAAATTGCCAGGACTAGGTAGATTACATTCATTCTAAATTTCAACATTGTCCTTTTTTTTCTTAAATAAAATTTGGGCATATAGGTAACAATGCTTAGTATTTTCCAATAACAGCTTTTGTTGCATTGCTCCCTGTTCTATATTAGTATCTCCCCCCGCCCCCCAGCTTGGTTAAACATACTGTTTGGACAGTTCAGCTTTTTTTCTTTACAAGTTGAGCTAAATAGTTTCTAGGTTTCTTTCCCCAAATTTCATGGTTCTGTGGTTAGTTTAAAAGGATAATGTTATGATATTTGATGAAGTTATGTAGAGTGAGAAAGTTACTTGGGGGTTTTGAAAGCCAGGAAGCTTATGTGCCTAGCTGCTTGCTATTGGGGGCTTTTTAGAAGATGAAAGTGATTATTGTTTAAAAATTTATCTTATAGAGAATGGAATTGAAATTGTTTTAGTGGTGAATCTATTTAAGTGACTCAACAGGTAGCATTTTTAGTAAATACATTAGATTTTAAGCCTCACTTCTTATAGTAAACTCTTTGGAGCCATTCCTGATATTATTCACTAATGACTGATAGTTGAAATATTGATTCTTCCTGCTATTAGAGACTTCTGTGGTAGGTACAGTTATATGCAGCCATGGACCTGACAGTCTAGTGGTGATTTATCAGATGATTATAGGTAACCTTTGAACTTATAGGAACTGATTCAAACAATTCATATAGAGGGTATGATGGGATAAGACATGTTTTATCACAACATTCTAGACTTGTTTATATTTTCCTTAGTTTATATTTTATATAGGCTTACCATTTTTAAAAAATGAAAGTGAATATCTAATCTAAGAAAAGACAAACATGCAAATTGACCATACCTTTGCTATGCCTTAAGCCACGCCCACCAGCCAGTCAGGGCAACTATATGCAAATTAACCCAACCAAGATGGCAGCCGGCAGCCACGGAGCTGAAGCGAGCAGGAAGCTTGGTTGCTCCAGTGATGGAGGAAGCCAAGCTTCCCGGCCAGCTCTGAGCTCCACTGAAGGCAACAAAGTTTCAATTATAGAAGGTAAATAAATCC